TGCTTTGTCCCCGTTGCAACTAGAAAGTGCCTTAAGCACTTCCTCTTCCGTGAATGGAATCTCAATACTATCCCTATCCATCGCAGAAATAGTATTAAATGGAAGACCATCTAGAGTAGGTCTTCAATCCAAAGTTTCAGTGTAAAGCTGCTGGTAAAAAGAAGCAATTCCTCCGCGCACATCTTCTTCTCTCCACAAATCAAAACCATTAACCCGAATACTTCCGATATGATTACACCTTCTGTGAGCATTGGCCAGTCTATGAAAGAATTTTGTATTCCGATCACCATCTTTTAACCACAAAGCCCGAGACTTTTGACGCCACGAAATCTCCTCCATATGAGCAATCTCAGCAAAAACCGCTTGACAAGAGGCTCTTTGAGTAAAGACTCCCTACTTTGTCCCACCTCAGCTAAACGATCAAGCTCAGCAATATCAGCAAGGGCTCTATTCTTTTTCCATTCAAGATTCCCAAAAACTTCTTTATTCCATCTTTTAAGCTCAGTTTTAAGAAACTGAAGCTTTCTAGCTAACACAAAACTAGCAGAGCCTGTGAAAGACCCTTTTTGCCACCAAGACTGAACCTTCCCTTGAAAGTCTTCAGATCTAAGCCACATGTTTTCGAATCTGAAAGGAGTGCGTCTAGACCTCAAACCACCACAATCCAAAACAAGAGGTACATGATCAGATGTGACTCTAACCAACACAGCCTGAGAGACATCCGGGAAATGCTCTTCCCAAGCCCCAGAAATCAGGAAACGATCCAATCGAGAAAAAGTAACCGGTTCCCTACCATTAGACCAAGTAAAAGCCGCTCCTTCCAACGGAAGATCGATAAGAAAATTATTGTCAATAAATTCTGAAAACATGGTCATTTCTGAAGACCACCTACCTCCTGTGGATCTCTCAAATGGGGATCTAACAGAGTTAAAATCCCCACCTAAGCACCAAGGCAATGACCATAAGTCCTTAACAAAGCAAAGCTCTTCCCACAGGACTGGTTTATCACTATCAGTAACAGGCCCATACACACCTGAAAACGTCCATTTGAAATTGTCTTCTTCCATCTGAAACATGCATGACACCGAGAAAATACATTTCCAACAGTTCAAACTTGACAACCATCTACGATCCCACATGAGGAGAATACCACCTGAAGTGCCTGTTGCATTTAAAACTTCAAAGTCCACAAACCTACATCCCCAAAGACTCCTGACAATCTCAGTAGTAATATCAGCCAATTTAGTTTCTTGTAAGCAGACAACATGAGCACTCCACTTCCTCAAAGCGACCATGATAACTCTTCTTCTTTTCGGGTCATTAAGACCACGAACATTCCATGTTATAAGTCGTAGCTTCATGAAGAACCAAAAACAATCAATTCACCTCCTCCCCTTTTACCACTCCTGGTTCTCCCCCTTTCTTTGGTCGACCCATTCTTTCCATCGTAGTTAACACAAGAAATCAAATTCTTCACTTCCTGTTCGCCTTTCCGATGTGAATTTCTGACTTTGACTTCTTTTGTGTCACGAATAGGTTCACTGCTACCATTTCCTGCAATAATTTCGTGGAGAATACACAGGGTTTGTTCCTCATAACCTTCTGCAGAGACAACCCAAAGCTTCACTAACTGCTCCAACATTCTCGATGACCCATTCCATGCCCAGATCAGTGGTTGTCTCCAAACAATCAGGCTGCACAACAGCCAAAGGTTCCATAAAGTCCACTTCATCGTGAACAGGATCTGTCCCGGAAAAAGATACGTTAAAAGGGTGCTGCTGAAGAGCAACATCAACCTCTCCTTCCTGTAAAATCCCCTCTATTTCCGAAGCATTAACTTCTTTGGATGGGATTACTGAAAACTCCTCATGCTCAGATGAAAAATTGCTCAAACCTTTAACTGAAGTAAATAGCCGAAGCTCTTTAAGCAAAGCTACGGCTGAATCATTATTCAATTTGAAATGCAAATCTTTTCCAACACAAACTGTCACTCCATTGAAAAAACCCGTACTCTCGGTAGTAACCTTTGAGACGTCCAACTCTGATTTAGAAGTCGAAATCCCAATGATACTTCTCTGTTGACCCGAAACATTCTCAACAACATTCCTGTCGCTAGCCACTTCACCCGAAGAAGAAGGAGAAGAAGTAGAAAGAGTGTTGAGAGAAAGATTAGGACTCAAACCTGGAGAAGAAGTGCGAGAACGTGCGACCCATTTCTGCTTTTCATTCCGAGTCCACTGAGATCCATGGCGTCCGACGTTCGTCAATCTCCTCTCGGATTTCATCCAAATATTAGAGGGTTTGGTATGGGCTTGTGATTCATTAGGACCAGGTTTGATGTTTGTAAGTGAGATAGATAATGAGTTAGGCCCTTTTCGTACCTTTCTAATAGGCCCAGACTTGAGAGGCCCAGTTTGGAGTTGCCCAGTTTGACCAAATCTTAGTGGCCCTTTCTGTAGTCTTCTTCTAACAGGCCCAGAACCCAAATACGCTCTGTAAGGTTGAGATTGAATGAGCCCATGATTATCAGGCCCAAATTTCCTAACCTGTCTTGATAACTTATGGCCCAAAGTAAAACCTTTATCAGCCCGAAAATAATCCTTCCCTACCTTATCTTCAAGAGATAAGGATAAAGCTGAATCTGAAGGGGTAGCCCACCGTTCACCACGTGTACACCGGTGTTGCTCATCAACGACGCGTTTGCTCGGCGTGTGAATCTCACCTCGTCGTCTACCTCCAATAAACTTCACCTTTTGCTGAATTTCACGATCCTTCAGCCACTGTTGAATTTCGAGAATCCCTTCTTCACCTTTGCTAAGAAGCTCGTTCCATTTTTCTTCCGACATAAGATGAGATCCGTCACTGCCTTCAAGACTTTCCGTTGAAGGAACAAGCTCCGGCGAAATTTCTTCCCAAATCGCGACCTTGTAGCAGAAAGTGTCGTCGTTGATATACACAAACTTCGGACAATCACGACCAACTCGTACTATTATCCGAACGCTTTCAGCATCCCTGGTCTCATCCGCGTCAGATCTGACATAACCACCACAAAGTTCTCCCACTTCGACGAACAGAGCATGGCACCATAAATGTAATGGAAGTCCAAACAACCGGATTTGCTTGAGACCTTGATCACTGAGAACGCCACGGCAACCAACACGAAAGGACCACACATCGATCCTCAAAGTTGCAGAACCCCATTGTCTTCGCCCTTCTTTCAACACACGTTTGGCCTCTGCCTGAGAAGGAAACCGGAAAAGAAGCATTGAATCGGATAACGATGAAACCCCCACTCCACAAGTCGTATTCCAAGCCCTCGCTGCCCATTCTTTCACGCGATCGCAACTCCCCACTTCCTTGTCAAATTTTCCTACCAAACAAGAGGAGAGAACAGATATCCTTCCTTTGACGGATTCCCCGTCGATATACAACGATGGACCGCGATGAGGAACTGCCGACTTCACATCTCCCCCAAGCGAAATTCTTGGTAACCTTGCGATGTCCAGAAAAGATTTCATTCCAAACAACCAAAACACAGATCGCCTCACAAATCGCCCCTAGTGGGGTGAAATCGCACATAGTGACGTGTACATAAGCATAGTGCTAATATTCTAATCGAGCATTTGATTTTTCAGACTTAAGCACAGATTTCTTAACATGCACAAGTTTGACATGCTGTGGTTTTCTTAAAATTCCAAATGCACTGCTAATGCATGAGGAATGCAGGGTGATGCAAACATGAAGTGTGAACTGAAGCTATTCTGTAAATTGCGGGCATGATAATCTGCCATAACATGATGCTTTGATTTATCAGTAGAAATAAATTTAGTAAGATAATAAGCACATACAGGACCACAGTTAGACTTAACAAACACAGTAAAGGGTTTAGCCTGATATACATGTGGTGCAGTTCACCAGATAATCCTATACCTTCTTTTCCAAATTGTTTGGTTGAGTTTATAACTTTATCCATATTCCATCCATATTCTTGGATCTTTCCTCAAATGCCTTGATGAGCTCTTCTCGACACTTTTTGCTGCTCCACTTCGCGCGAGCTTTACTGTTTTTCAAAGCAACAGATATTATTAGTGAAATGGAGCAAAGTGTACAGAGGTTTACCTTGGTCAATTGAGTGAAGTTGTTTTTGGTGGTTTGTAGTTTTTTATTCAGAGATTTCATCGATTTCTTCTGGGCATTACAATTTTCAGCTAGTCTCTCACATTCAGCCAACACTTCATCCAAATCTTCAGTGTCAGTTTCACCTTCTTCGTCACTTTTGGTATGAAGGCAGCTCTATACTGGATAGTGCTATAACCAGACATGCTTCTTCTTCACTCTTCTCATTTTGATCCTCAACCTCTGAAGATGAGTCTCGGCCACTATAGAAAGCCTTCTTTTGCCTTTTCCTTTGTATTTATCATTTTCATTCTTCCTGAACTTATCTGACTTGTGAGTGGCAGGAGAATTTGCAATAAAGTGACCTTGTTTTCCACAGCCAAAACACCTCTGATTTTGCATCTGCTACCTCTTTCTCATTCTGACTTTTCTTAAAAAATAGGTTACCTCAACATCAAACATTTCAGTATCTGAGTTTGTATTATGCTCATCAGTCTCAGCTTCCTTGGCTTTCTAGGCTGCCTTTTTTCTGGAGGAGATTGGGAATCCAAACTCTTATTTCATAGGCTATTAGAGAAGCCGGCAGATCATTTACTGTGAAAGTCTTTGTCTTCAAGTATTGTTAACTTTGGATTGAACCTTGGTGTGAATGACCTCAGAACCCTTTTACCAACACCTGATTGCTTGATATCTTCACCAAGAACTTTTATGTTGTTGACAATCTCATTAACTTTGAAGATGTATTCAGCTGCAGTTTCTTTGTCCTCCATTTTGCACGATTCATATTGATCTTTGAGAAGTTGAATCTTGTTCTCTTCTATAGTATTGTTTCCTTAATGAAAGATATAAGACGGTTATTTATGATACTTCTACATGCTTTGCAGAACTCGGAAAACATTAGAGAGATCAGATGTGATGAGAATTTGAAGACCCTCTTTGAAGGGAAAGAGAGTGTCGATTTTTTTGAGATAACCAAATTGTTGAATGAGCATTTCCTGAAGTGATACTTTTTTAGGTTGGGCTTCCTTTGTATATCTTGAAGCACTATGTTCCTTTGTATGTTTTTCTGACACCTCTGCCCTTGTGATCACGTGGGTTTGAAGGAGAAATTTTCCTTAACTTCTGACATTATAATAATGATATGTGTCTGCCTTTTAGTTAATTATGCATCTCCACTTACTAAGTTTGTAAGATTGCTTTGCTATTTAAATAGTTATGGACTGTTGAAGTTCTGGATGATGTGGGGGGGGGGGGGGGGGGGGGGGGGGGGGTGGGGGTGTTGTGGTGTTGCTTTAATTATGTTGGCAGAAGCACATTTTAAACCAACCTTCATTTTGCCGACACTATTTTGGTCATAAAACTTTATGGCAGTTTATGCTTATCACCATTTTGCTATAATATAGATTACCACATTACTTTAAGATTTAATATAAGAATATTTTAATATATATTACAATGCTATTAACCGGAATTTTTAGGACTTCAACCATCAAAGGTGTAGCCTTCAGGCCAGGCACATCGTTTTGGATGGCATTTTAGTATAAAAGTTGTGTTTGTGTAGCATTTCATGGTACAGATCTTGTCAATATGCAATTAGGCTTTTCGAAAGGGAATTATACACTACAAAATGAAGATTGTTTCTTACGATTTCATTTCATTTTATGGTTTGGTTCTTTTTCTTGTTTCCCTAAATTATGGTCTGGTACGTCTCTTACCACTTTGAGCAGATGTTGAGTAAATGACAAGGGAAAAAAAACCTTGGAGGGAAATAATGGGGACAAATAAATGATTGTTTGATTTTTCAAAATAGTTGGCATTTCTAATTTTTATATTTGCAGTGATATGCAAATTATATGATATAATCGTCACTGATAAATATAAAAAAGAATGCCTACTAGGTCCAGCATTGGGTGTTTTAATGTGTAGGTAAATCATACATACTCATTTATCTCACAATTAACATTTGAAAGCAACTGCCCTCTATTAAAAATCTAAACATATTCACTAGGGGTCATGGTTGGTTTTGGTTTTGTTTATAGGGTAAAATAAAACCTAATCAATCCTAACACTTCTAAATCAAACCGAACTGCTGAACCGCCGAAGCATATTTAATCGGATTTGGATTGGTTCTTTTATATGGATTAAGCTTAGTTTATAATGTAGTACCATAATAATTACATTAACTAAAATTTAACTTTATGATTTAAATAAATTATGAATGAAATTTTCTTCTGTTTGCCTACTTTTCTATTTACTTAAAAATGTGCTAGCAATAGTGTAAATGGTAACAAGAATTTGAATACTATTTTATGACTATGTTTATGTGACTGAAAATTAGTTGCCTATTGCGATCTGCAGTAGCAAAATCCTTACATATATATATATATATATACACTAGTATGTTTTTTCTCTTTTTGCTCACCAGGAGCAGGTTCCATTTGATTTTTGCAGTATCTAAAACGAAATAGCGGGGCTGGAGGATGACTGGAAACTGGAATGAGGATCCTAATTGGCAAACTGGGTTCCTGGCTTTAACACTTGATATGAGCAAAGAGCTTACAACCGGGTTAAATGGGTTTTCTTGGAAAGTAAGCTTCTGAATTTGGGTTTTGTTTCTCATGTGGTGCATTTAATTATGTCTTGTATTTCTTCTGTATCATACACGGATCTCCTTGTGGGTTTTTCAAACCTACTAGAGGTCTAAGACAACCCTTATCTATTTTTAGTGTGTGCAGAAGGTTTGTCTTGGGCGTTGAGAAGTGCCAATTGTCAAGGACAACTAACGGGTTTGAAGATTTGTAGACAGACGCCGAGGGTATCAGGTGTATTTTTTGCAAATGATTCCATACTTCTTTGCAAAGCATCATTCGGGAGAAAGTATTAAATACCACAGGTATGGTATCCTGGGGTCATCCCAGCCCTTGAATGTAGTGGGGCCCTCCCCTACATCCATGATCCAACCACTCTTACTCCCCCGGGGTACCATACCCGGGGGTATTTAATACCTTCTCCCTGTTCCGGAGGTTTCAAAGATGAAAGCAGTATTAAAGTGCTACGTCCGGGCAACAAATTAATTTTGAAATGTCGGCAGTCTTCTTTACCAAGAATACTAGTGCAGAGGTTCGGGCATCTATTTGTTCTTTAATTGTCATATACAGGGAGGGGATGCAAGATAAATATATGGGTTTGCTGGCAATCATTTGTTTTTGAAAGAAAGAAGTCTTCTGATACATTGAGGAGAAATGCAAGCAAAGTTGAAAGGTTGGAACAAAGATCTTGTCACAAACCGGTAAAGACATTCTAATAAAGGCGGTGCTGTCTTCAATGCCGATGACACAATGCAATGTTTTCGGCTCTCTTCTATAATATGTAAGAATGCCAAGCTGATTAGGAATTTTTGGTGGGGCAATGGTGATAAGACACGAGCTCATTGGAATGATGGAAGAAGGTGTGTTGCCAAAGGAAGCGGGAAGGCTTGGCTTTCGTGATTTGGAAGCATTTAATCTTTGTCTACTTGGTAAGCACGCATGGAATTTTGAAGTTGAGAGGAAGGGACTGCACTATCGAATTTTTAAGAGCAAATATTTTGCCAACTGTTCTTTTCTAGATTCTCCTACTCGGAAAAGTTTTTTACGGGCATGGTCTAGCATTGTTGCGGCTAAGGAGGTACAATGGGTTGTGGGTAATGGTAACTCAATTTGGGATAAACGTGGAGAATCAGTGCATAATGTCTCACATGCATAAACGTGGCGTGGCATCTGGAAATGTAGAGTCCAAGGAATAATTCAGCGCTTTCTTTGGTCATGCATAGCTGATGCTCTTCCGGTGCTAGCAAACCTTCATAAACATGGAATGGCAGTGGAGGAGCATTGGCCACTTTGTGGAGCAGAAGCAGAATCGGTGGAGCATCTGCATCTCCAATGTGTGCGGGCTGCAGAGAGGTGAAGCAAAGCAAGTTGGGTGCCGCCACCTATGGGTTTTCTCCTCTTGTAATTGTACCCTTTTTTAATATTTTTATAAAATACCCCATTCTGGGAAAAAAAAAATTTCTAAAAAGTTGTAATATAAATGCTGCTTTTCGATCACTGATCGTTCAAAACAGTAATGGTGAGGTAGCGAGGGTGGCTGCTCTTAGCTCATGCCTTGGCCTCTCATGTTCTAGCTCATTCGCTTGTTAATGTGGAGGATATAACGAATCTCCTATCTCCATGTTACTACGTTGGAGATTCTGGCTGATTGTAGTTAGTTGTTTAATTAATAAAATTTCATCTATTTGCCTAGGAAAAAAAGAAAGAAAAAAGAAATTGTTAACCGAACCAATCCGGTTAGAGTAATTTGAAATCAATTTTCAATAGCTCTTTAAGAAATTGAATTGAGATGTATTTTAAAAAATAATAACATGGGTACAGCAGTGAAAGAACAATATATTACATTTTTATATAAAAAAAATTAGTTTTTAATTAGTTCATAATATTGTGAATGTAAATATTATCACTAATAGGTTCCTAAATAAAGAGGCAATCGGATGAAACACACAAAGAATAACTCTAATCTAATATCCTGCTGGATCAGATTTTTCTAATATCCTGTTGTATCCGTATCAAATACATATTTAATACTGTCAAGGCGACCTCGAGTCAAATACATATCTCGAGTCAGCCAAGGCGACCTCGAGATATACTTGGCGACCTCGAGTCAAATACATATCTCGAGTCAGCCAAGGCGACCTCGAGAAAGTAAATGTGCTTCCTAGATAAAAAGTTAAAATCCTCCACTTGTCTAGCACACTAATAAAAGCTTGTACATGTATCGTCCATGTTTAAAAAGTTGTGGCGGGAAGAGCAAGAAATCTTTCTTCTTGCATATTCAATTTAGACAATTGTCTAGTCTTCTAATTCATCACACAAGCCTTGCACACACTTATACACATGCATATCAAAAGAAAAAAATCATTTTGATTATCAAAACAGATGTTTTATAAAAATTTATAAGCTAAAATGGAAATCAAAATATTACAAATTTATTGCTTCCTTGGACCCTTGAGTTGGCCAGAAATACAATTTTGATATTCATCTTTTCATCAGTCAAGGGACTCAACCCTACAACCCGAGTTCAAGACTTAAGTACCACAAAACAACGGAGTTTGGACGGTCAAGCCAAGTTCTTCAAGAAAATGTTGTAGAAGCGTTAACTCACTAGAAGTGTGGGCCATCGCCCTGTACTCAGCTTCAGCACAGGATCGAGCTATCAGAGTAGCTAGCATATCATTCATGTTTGATCCTTTCATCAGGTGATTTTGCACAACAAGATTATACTCAAATCCATGAGTGATTCTATGCAATGCTCCTTGACACTTTGAAGTTTCATCATCCCAACTCAATAAATTGGCATCAACTTCGTATAGATCGCAACAGGTAGAAAGTCAGCTAGCCACCGACTCTCAGGCTCATTACTCCGCCAAACATTTCATCCACGGGCTTCTGCCTTGTAAATGTATCCGAGAGCATTACACTATACTCTATTTGCAACAAAAATAAATTATTAAACTAGCCATTAAAAGTAAAACAAATAAAATAAAATAAAGAAGTAATAACCTCAATTGTGAAATTTAATCTATAAAGTAGAAGCATCACCTGATGCAACATAATCAATTGTACCCTGTGTCTTGGTATGTCCACATGGAATCTTGTTTGCCTAAAAGCTTCGCAATGCCAAGTTCTCCTCCACGTGCAACCATATCATCATCTAGAAAGGTTCTTAGACAGGATCGACTAACAAGACAATGGACCACAGAAACCTCAAAAAATACTTGAATCACATTAGTTTGATGTACGACAGAATTCTGAACAGTTCGACGAGCAATTTGACAAGTCTATTTCTGACCCGAGAGGAGTGTTTTTTAGGTGGAAACAACGCATTGAGAAAGACTCACTAGCTTTAGCTTGTGGGCATCAACTGAAAACCTTCGTTTAGGGGCTCCAAAATCGTGTTTTATTGTATTATATGAGGCCTGCTAATTATTTCGGAATTTTTGTTCGAGGCCTTAACGAATTAGGATTGCTCTAAAATTTTAGATTTAGTATTTTTTATTTATTAGGTTTCTTATTCTATTTTTTGGATTTTTTTAGAGAAAATTTATTTTTAGGCTTATTTTTAGTGTTATTTTCCTTTTGCTATTGTCTTTATGTTTTTAGTTTCCTTCTAATGTTAAAATGCAGAATCAATTTTTATTCATTCAATTATATAGTACAATACCAGATTTCTCTGACTTTTATCTCTCATTTTGTGGATTCAAAGTAACCCGTTCCTCATGAACAAATTTATCGCTTCCGCTTACGTCAGTTGGTATCAAAGCCTTGTCTTTTCCTGGACTGATGGTAATTGATCGTTTTTGTGACAACCTCGCTAGCGATGAAGATCAACACAGATTGGCTTTTTCTAAAGCTGAATTTCAAGACTGTCAACGTGAAACCCAACACACTGCAAGATATTCAAGCATTGCTTGTTAGGCTTAAGTTGGGTCTAGAGTAGAATAGCGATAACAATAGGTTTCACAACAACAACGTATATCGTGTTCGTCCTGTTCGTAATCGCAACCCCTTCCTTCCGCATAGTCAGGCAACCTATGAAAAAAAGGTGTTTGGGGATAAAAGTAGTGAACAATATGATTTTGTGGTAAGCAATACTTCATGTTATTCGTAGATAAACTCAAGGATGAGTTTTTTTTTTTTTAAGTAAAGGGGACTAATGTAGGACATAATTCTGAACAATTTGACAAGCAGTTTGACAAGTCCGTTTCCGACCTAAGAGGAGTGTTTTTTGGGTGGAAACAACGAATTGAGAAAGACCCACTAGCTTTAGCTTGTGGGCCATGTTGGTTTTCGACTGAAAACTTTCGTGACGGGCTCCGAAATCACGTTTTATTGTTTTATACGAAGCCTGCTAATTATTTCAAAATTTTTGTTCAAGGCCTTAACGAACTCGGATTGCTCTAAAATTTTAGATTTAGTGTTTTTTATTTATTAGGTTTCTTATTCTATTTTTTGGATTTTTTTAGAGAAACTTTATTTTTAGTCTTATTTTCCTTTTGCTATTAGGTTTCTTTATGCTTTTAGTTTCTTCTAATGTTAAGTTTTCTTTTATTATAAATGCATATACTGCCAAGTGCAGAATCAATTTTTATTCATTCAATTATATAATATAATATCAGATTTCTCTGACTTTTATATCTCGTTTTGTGTCGTTTTGTGGATTCCAAACACTTACTTTGTGGATTCAAAGTAACCTGTTCCTTGTGAACAAATTTATCGCTTCCTCTTATGTCATAGTTAGAAAAGTAACTTGGTAAAATTGACATACTCAATTTGAGAGCCTGACTATCATTATATACAAGCGGAAAATTACAAATATGGAAAAGAGAATAAAATCAAATCAAAATAAAGAGAATAAAATCAAATCAAATCAAATCAGAATAAAAATAAAATCCCTAAAAATTAGCCTATATTGAAGACCCAATAAATCTACCATAATCGTTGAGTCAACTTATAGATAAGATTTCCAACACTCCCTCTCAAGCTAGAGCAAATATGTTAATTAAGCCCAGCTTGACTATGGAAGACTGGAGAAGAGAAGGCCCAACAGACTTTGTAAACACATCTGCAGTCTGTTCTGAAGAAAGAACAAAAATAGGATTAATGATACCTGATCGAACCTTCTCTCGAATAAAGTGAATGTCTACCTCAATATGTTTCGACCTTTCATGTAAAACAGAATCAGAAACAAGCATAATGGCTGATTTATTGTCACAAAACAGCCTTGAAGAACCTTTCTGTACAAGACTCAACTCTCCCAAAATTGATTGAAGCCAAAAGAGCTCACAAATACCTTGAGCCATAACTCGGTATTCAGCTTCAGCAGAGGATCTAGAAACAACAGCCTACTTCTTACTCTTCCATGATATGAGATGATTACCATAGAAAGTACAGAAGTCAGAGGTAGAACGTCTATCTATGTTACATCCAGCATAGTCTGCATCAGTAAAGCATGAGAATCCAGACTGATTTCCTGAGGCATAGAACAGACCAAGACCAGGGCACGACTTAAGGTACCTCAAAATATGGTAGACTGCATCCATATGAGCTGAGCGAGGGGCATGCATGAATTGACTAATCACACTAACAGCAAACGTCAAATCTGGCCTTGTGTTAGTCAAGTAGATAAGACGACCTACTAAACGTTGATACACGGATGGATCTGGAAGTAATTCCCCTGACTCAACAGAGAGTTTGAGATTGGGGTCCATAGGAGTGGAAGCGGGTCGACACCCAAGCATGCCAGTATCTTGAAGAAGATCCAAAACATATTTCCTTTGAGATAAAGAAATTCCACGACGGGATCTAGCAACCTCAATTCCAAGAAAATATCGAAGAGGACCTAAGTCCTTTACATCAAAGGACTTTTGAAGATGAAGTTTCGCCTGAGCAATCCCTGAAGCATCATCACCTGTGATAATGATATCATCCACATATACCAATAACATAATGCAACGACCATCAGAGCGACGTCGAATAAAACAAGTATCGTCTGAGTGGCAGCGCACAAAGCCCATGGATAAAACAACATCGCTAAAGCGACTAAACCAAGCTCTAGGAGATTGCTTCAGACCATAAAGAGACTTCCGTAGCCTACAGACTTTCCCAGCATACTCCCCCTCAGCCCGAAATCCAGGGGGTGGATCCATATATAGTCTCAAGTAAGTCTCCATTAAAAAATGCATTCTTGACATCTAACTGATGCAAAAGCCAAGAATGGGCAGCAGACAAGGAGACAAGCAGTCGCACAGACGTCAACTTAGCCACAGGAGCAAAGGTAGCACTAAAGTCTTTGCCCGGAATCTGAGTAAAGCCTTTTGCCACCAACCGAGCCTTATACTGATCAATGGAACCATCGGCTAAGTACTTCACATTAAAGACCCATTTGCAGCCAACCGTTTTCTCCCCAGAAGGTAAAGCAACAAGTTCCCATGTATTATTATGGTGTAAAGCATCCATTTCTGTTGTCATGGCAGACACCCAATTGGGATCCTGGAAGGCCTCTGACACAGATCGAGGAATAGAAACAGTCCCAATCTTGCCCAGGAAGGATTTATATGCACCTGAAAGACCATCATAGGAGACATACTGGGAAATAGGGTGGTTAGTGCTACTAGAAAAACCATACCAATTAGGAGGATGACGATCACGGGTAGGATAACGGGAGGTATGCTCAGGAATTGTAGGAGCAATAGGAGAAGGAGAGTTACCTAGACCTGGTTCTGAAGATGATTCTGGCAAGGGAGGTTGAGTGCGATGGCGAAGAGAGTAGACCTGCAAAGGTGGAGGGGACCCGGCATGGATGGAGAAGGAGATTCCAGGACAGTGTGATTTTCAAAGAGAGGAACAGGACAGGCAATAGGAGAAATCTCCTTCTCCAGATCACAAGAGAGAGAATCGTGTACCACAGAATTAGTACTATAAAAAGGAATAGTTTCATGAAATGTCACATAAAGAGAATGATACATATGTTTGGTCACAGGATCATAAAAACGATAGCCCTTTGACATAGCAGAATACCCCAAGAAAATACACCTAATAGATTTATCATCAAGTTTATGACGAGAAGGACTACGGTTATGAACAAAACAAGTACAGCAAAAAACACGAGGAAGAAGGTGAAACAATGTATAATCAGGATGGAGAATCTGAAGTGGTGCCTTACCACCCAAAACTCGACTGGGAGTACGATTAATCAGAAAAGTAGCTGTAAGAACAGCCATGTGCCAATAGAATTTAGGCACATGCATACCACTCAGAAGACATCGGACCACAGACATAAGATGACAGTTTTTGCGTTCAGCCACGCCATTTTGCTCAGGAATATAGGGGCCAGGGAGTTGGTGTAAAATCCCCTTTTTCTCAAGTTCAGACCAGAACTCATTTGAAACATATTCTCGTCCATTATCAGAACGAATATTACGGACAACAGTGTTATACTGGGTTTTGATCATTTGAAGAAACTGGGTAAATAAAAGAAACACATCAGATTTCTTTTTCAATAAATAAACCCAAGTACAACGAGAATAATCATCAATAAATGTCACATAATATCGATGTCCAGAGAAAGCAGTAACTGGGGAAGGGCCCCAGACATCAGAATGAATAAGATCAAACATACTAGGAGCACGACTCATATGAGAAATATAGTTAATTCTAGTATGTTTAGAAAGCTCACAAACTTCACATTGAAACTTATGGTCCTTACATGCTTTATTTAATGAAGGAAACAATAGACATAGATATTGAAAGTTTACATGCCCCAAACGTGCATGCCACAGACTAAAAGTGCGAAAAGAAACATCATAAACACTATAAGTAGGTAGGGCAGAAGCTTGAAGACTCGTTCCTGGTGGTTCCCCAAAGTAGTAAAGCCTATCACGCTCATAACCCCTGCCAAAAATCCTCTTCGAACAAAGGTCCTGCAACAAACAATGATCCGGTAAGAATATAACTGCACATTGGAGGTTTTTTGCAAGCCGGCTAACAGATAAAAGGTTAAAGGCAAATTTACGTACATGAAGGACAGATGAAAGAATAATATCAGGAGACAGACAAACATCACCCTTACTGTGAATGTAAGATGTAGAGCCATCCGCAAGATACACAGATTGGGTAACAGGTATGACATTAGAAGAAAAAACTGATAACTCACCAGTCATGTGATCATTGGCCCCAGAATCCAGAACCCAAGTGGGCTACTTGGCCTTAACATGAAATGCAGTAGGAGTACCTGTAGCAATAGTTGCAGTGGGAGTAGTTGAAGGAGCACTAACTCTAGAAGCAAGGGAGCTAAGTTGGTCCTGGATCTGCCCAATCTGAGACTGAAGCTGGCTCAGTCCAGGAAATACAGTAGATCCACCAGTAGTAACAGGAGTTTCTGCAACAGCCGCAGTACGAGAAAAACCAGTTCTAGATAAACGGTTCCTAGACAATTTTTGCTTCAGTTCAGGATGAAGTTTGAAGCAACGAGCCTTAACATGTCCAACCCCTCCACAATGGTGACAAATAATCTGACCTCCAGAAGCTCGTGATCCAAAGTTGGCTGCAAAAGCCATACTATCCCCAACAGACTCAGACATTGGTACAGGAACAATTGAGGGCTGAATTAAACGGTGCCTACGTGCTTCACCATCAACAGTAGCAAAGGCTTCCAACAGGGATGGCATTGGTGATGCATTCAAGATCTGAGACTTTAGTGGTTCAAATTCTGGATGTAATCCCATCAAAAACTGATAGGTATGCTGACGATCAAGACGTTTGACAAGAAGAGAGGCTGCCTCAGAAGGAAATTCACTGAGAGGCTCATATTGAGCTAGTTCCTCCCAACGAGATCTCAAATACCCAAAACAATCAGTTACAGACAAATTCAGGCCTTCCTGCGAGGCCTTAGCAATATCTTGATATAATTCAAAAATACGAGCATCATTCCTAGAATGAGCATACATTTGATTCAAAGTAGTCCACAAGTCATTAACAGAGTCATAAAACATGAATATATTATAAATGCGTTCCTCCATAGAATTAAACATCCATCCTAAAATGGTGCAATTGTCCATATCCCACTGAGCATATTTAGGATCTTTAATATCTGGCCTCTTTTCAGTACCCAAAATCCACCCTGATTTGCCTTTTCCACCAACATAGAGGCGGAGGGAACGAGCCCAGGATGCAAAATTACGGCAACAGCACACTAGTAACTCGTTGAGCCGGTGTGTATTGCGCCGAAAAGAGAGTTTCTTTATTATTACTTGATTCAGCTATAACATTAAATAGATCAATTCAACAGATTATCAATAATTTCAAATAAAGGAGGAATAAACCTGATTTTAATCAAACCAAGAAGCCGAAGACACGGCGGTCTGATCCGAAAATGCTGCCGAATATCCCGGCAGCCCAAAAAATTACAAACACGTCTTCTGACCCTTAGTGCATGAAAAAGACTAAGGGAATACCCCTACAGGAGTCGAACCTAGAGGAGATTGACTCACCCTAGGACTGTCGCAACAGCGACCTGAAAAGAAAAAAGGTCTGTGAAGAAAAAAAAATAGGGAAGGGGCTGTAACGAGATAAAGAAAGATATTTAAAGAGGCGGTGACAGAGAGAGAGATGGGGGAGGCGTAGGTTTGAGGTTCTGATACCAAAAAGTAACTTGGTAAAATTGGCGTACTCAATTTGAGAGCCTGACTATCATTATATACAAGCGGAAAATTACAAATATGGAAAAGAGAATAAAATCAAATCAAAATAAAGAGAATAAAATCAAATCAAATCAAATCAGAATAAAAATAAAATCCCTAAAAATTAGCCTATATTGAAGACCCTATAAATCTGCCATAATCGTTGAGTCAACTTATAGATAAGATTTCCAACAGTTAGTAATAAATTTGTAATATTTATTATTTCCTTTGGGGTATAAAAAAGTAACCCCACTCAATCCTTCTGTAGCCTTACTTCCGAAGTATTTTCCCCCAATCTCCTTGATGATCAAGATAAGGTCGGGTTCAAACCACCACAAGCCCTCAAGAATGCCTCCCAAAAATAGAATGGTGGCTGATCTTATGGTCTCCAAAAGGGATTTACTTGTCAAAAAGAAGACGCGAGTGATTCAATATGCCCTATATCCAAATAGATAATTCAGATTACCAAGCTAGGCTAACGTTTTTTTGAAACTTATTCTACGGTGATTCAATATGCCCTATATCCAAACAGATAATTCAGATTACCAAGCTAGGCTAACGTTTTTTTGAAGCTTATTCTACTGTGATTCACTTTAGTCCTTTCTTTTGCTTTGAAGAACCTGTGGTTTCCTTATAACATGCTTTCTTCCATATTAAAGAAGTTCTAAGTTACCTAAGGAAGAGAGAGGGAGATATTTTGAACTTAGAAAACCAGAAGGAGAAATCAAACTTACCCAACCGAAAAAGGGAAATAGAAACACCTGAGTTGAGAAACACAGGGAGAGTAGAAATGTTCCCTGATGCTAATACATATATATGACACCCATGGGCGGAGCCAGGATTTCAACTTAGTGGGGGTACAGTGGAAAAAATAAAAAATTCAACTAACATCGACAAGTATAGATTATTCAAATAAAGAGGCAAATAAGAAACACAAAATTGCAAAATAATATGACAATCAATGAATAGTATACGAAAGACAAATACTTGACAAACATAAGAACCTAAAATGTTGATTGGTAATATTTGTACTCAGTTGTAGGTCTTTGTATTTTAAAAGCGTGCATGAAATTACACCCATTGAGTTCATAAAATTACAGTAATAAATTTAAATAAGAAGAAGAGAAATAAAAAGGATAAGAAGAGAATGGAAAGTTTGATACTAATTGCATACATAACGTGCAAAAAGAAGAATTTTAAGGGGGGGAAAAAAACACTAAGAACTTTGAAACCTAAATCATTTAGGGAAAGTAGGGAAAAGGGATTCAATTCTTCAGAATTCCCCATAAAAGGCTTGTTCTAAACTTCTATGCTACATGAGTGAGGGCAACACAACAACAAAAATAAAATCATACTCACAACACGTTCAACCTCCCTGATAAAATGGGAAAAAAATTCCATAGGGTTACCATTGGTGCCAGATTCCTCTAAAGGACCAGAGTCCACAACTTCAGACAGAGCTTCTCATTCCGGTTCCCGTTTCTTATCTTGCTCAGATCTGATAAAATAAACAACAAATATATAAGTATAAACCTATCAATGGACGCCCAATATATATATTTAGCTTCAGTAAGTACTCACGCTTCAATAAGTACTCTCTTGGTGCAACAGTCCATTTGCGCATCAGCGGTTAAAGAGAGGACATCTTAAAGAGAGGATATGCAGCCACAGCTGTTATATTTATAGCTGTCAACGTGCCTAAAAGAAGAAAAGGATTTAAGTTAGACTGCCATTCACACTGAGTGACTTATGTGAATTACTAGATTAAGTATATAATTCAGGGTTCTGGAAGAACTCTCAGTCCCCCATGAAAAAAATATATTTCAATAAATAAGTACTTCGGTCTATCTAATTTCAAGAACAACCAAATAGATAATTAAGATTACCAAGCTAATCTAATACATTTGAGAATTACACCAAAGATTTCTATCTTACTGTGCTTTGCTTTAGACCTTTCTTGTGCATTGAAGAACCTGTGGTTTCTTAATAATATGCTTTCTTCCATATTAAGGAAGCACTAAGTTACCAAAGGAAGAGAGAGTTTTGAACATAAAGAACAAAAAGAACGAATTAAAACCTAAAAATCATTGTGGAAAGTAGGGAAAAGGGATTCAATTCTTCAGGATCCCCATAAAAGACTTGTTCTAAACTTCTATGCTACATGAGTGAGGGTAATGCAATCAGCTATAAAAGAGAATAATTAGATCTGAAAAAGGGAAAACAGATTAATTCAAGCTAAAATAATAGCTTAAACATCCATAACTCAATCCCAAAAGAAATGGAGAGGTAAAAGCTGCTGTAGCAGGCTGATTATATTGAAAATATACAACTTGGAACAACCCTTTTATAAGACACAAGGGATGTCCCAGTAAGGAATTAATTCTAGCCCTTCATATAAATATAATCTAACAGCTAGAATTCTATCCAGCAAAATAAATATGCTAAAATGACAAAAGTCAAATGACTCACTTAAAAAGGCACATGATTTATATAATAAAAACCAAAATGACAATAATATCCTAATCATGAAATAAAGACGGACTTAAGACTTATATAAATGACTCTAGACCAATAAAAAATCACATAATCATCTGATCACATCATCAGCTACCCCTATTAATGGAAACTCAGCCTAGTTTTTTTAGGATCTTAAACTGTTTGAAGAAAGTCCTCTTCCATTTGCGCTGCATCAGAGGGCAACACGGCAACAAAAATAAAATCATCATCACAACATGTTCAACCTCTCTGATAAAAAAATAAAAATAACAAAAGGGAAAAAAATACCATAGGGTTACCATCAGTGCCAGATTCTTCCGAAGGACTAGATTCCACAACTTCAGACGGAGCTTCATGTTCAGGTTCCTTATCTTGCTCAGATATGATCAAATAAAAATAATTATATAAGTATAAACCTATGAAGAAAATAAGCACTTGTGAATAAGAACAAACACCACAAATATGCACCAACAAAATTTAGCACCCCACTACTGAGCCCCACTATTCAAAGGAGCAACAATACTTGATGAGAAAAAAATTGGAAATATTTATGGAGCAACAATACTCTCTTTTATTTAATTTCTTTATTTTATGGTCGTGATTCATGACTGTTAAGCAAGTCAAACCAATTCACCCCCCAAACTCCCCCTACAACATATATAAATAAATAAATAAGAATAAAACAAAACAAAACAAACCACCTATTTAACGATGTTTTACATCTAAGAATTTAACTAAGTTTTCTTGTCACGACCCAAAACCATAGGCAGTGAATAAATTGAGGTTTAAACACAAACCAACCTACTCTCCATCACCCCCTTTCAACATACAACCCACAGCAGAATGTAGTACCAGTTGCCAAAATCCTTTACAACACATTGTATATCATACAATCTGGCCTCAATTACATCAAGACCGTCAAGTCACCTCTATACAAGTATTTCAGAAAATACCTTACATACAAAACCAGTTGAGTCTCTATAGAGAGCTAGTCAGCAACTCCAAAATCTCCAATTGATCTTTGGGTACCTGAAAAATGATAGGGTAAGCTAACAACCCTGTAGGAAAAATCATAACGGGAGCTTCACAGAGGTTTATTAAAGGCACATGAAAGTGAGTTTACAGAAAATATGTAATCATTTGTATCACAAAACATATACATACAAGGCATGGTTGTTTCTCAGCAAAATGGAACAAGAAATTCAAGAAAGGATGAACAACTTCAGGATTTGAGTATCAATTTGAGCGAAACACATGTAGCAATTAAAACAGATATTTCATGGCCAAACCTAGGAATTTAGGAGGCAAAACCACTCCAAGCAACTCAAGGTATAGAGAACCCTACACAAGAGTGATGAAGATACTATGAAGAAGGAATCCTACAACTTTCTTCCTGTTTCCCTTTCTTCCTTGCTCTCCCTCTTGTTTTAATCTTTCTTTTCCTTTGGTTTGTGCTGTAACAAATGAAAGGCAGCAACAGGTGTAAGGTTGTGTAGAGACATATGTCTCTTGGGTTGTGATATAAGACCAGGCGTTAGGAAGACTCATATGTCTTTGACACATGGCTGCCACCAAGTCAGGCTTTGGTTTAATTTTAACCTCTCCCCTACCAACTAAATACCTCCAAATAAAATTCCATAACTTCAATAAGTCAAACTTTATACCCAATGCCACTCATCATAATTAAAGGTCACTAAGCACAATTAAGAGACACTAAGCACGTTTAAGAGAAAATAAGCACGGTTAAGAATCACTAAACAAGATTAGAAGGCTTAATTAAATCTTAGGATATCACAATTCTGTTGCACAACTCTCATCTTTCAATGAATAGAAAGATCTCTGAAATTCCTTTTTCTTTTTTTTTTTGGTAAGTGAAACAAAATTAAATTGAAAATTACTAAAGCAAAATCTTGTCAAGCATGCCATGTTACACAAATTTTATCCCAGGGATTGGAAATATATATGCATGTCATAATGTTCAAGGAACTGGGGGGTTAAAGATGGAATTGATACTAACAATACAAGGACATATAGAGTCGTAAACGTGACAGTTGACACATAGAAACATGTATTTAGAATAAAGAACATTATAAATCAAAAGTCAAATAAAGCCCACTCCAAGTGAGGTATTTAGACAATTTAAAGAAAACAAAAGAGAAAAACAACATAAAGAGAAAGAAAAAAAAAATGGCCTGAAACAAATGGAGATTAGCAGAGCAAACAAGGAAAAAGAAACAAACATAATTGGGTGTAAATATATTCAAACACAATAGGTCAGAAAAGCGACCATACAAAACATAAAGGAAAATTATAAACTGTTGGAGAATATCATAGAAGTGATTTTAGCCTATGATAGAATATTGATGGGAGTGATTTATGGGATTGAATTTAGGGATCCTCCATCAATGTATTTTCCATATTTATCACCTGAGTTCTTTCACCAATAAATAAAGGGGCTGATTGTAAACAATATTAAGAGAGAATATAATAAAGGTGATGTAGCCCTTTGGGATTTGTGTGTCTATCCTTACGTTCTTGATGTTTAATTTCGCACTTCAATTTGTATTTCTTTAAACATGGCATCAGAGCATTGACAAGCTCTGCCTCAAACTCTTTTTTCTTAAAACATCAAAAACCGAAATCATAAAATAATTCACAAATTCTCAAAAAATAAGTACCACCAAACAAAGAATCAACTAATTAAACATACTATTGTATCACACATTTTTTCAAACAATAATGATTTCAATTGGTCTTTCCCAATCCAATGACAAAGCTCAAGTGTAAGTCTTTAAATGAAGCATAAAACTTATGGGCAAACCTTAACACTTGAAACATGACATCGATTGTTGGAACAGCTGCTTTAGCAACTTTGTTGTAAATAGCTCTCTCCACAGCATCCTGTCATTAGAATAATGCTCATAAGCATACAAGGAAAACAACAATCCAATGGTAAATGCAGACATAACAAATAATCTTATGTTATATGAGACACCAAAACCAAATATATTCAAATACAGAAATGTGCATAGAAACCTTAAAATGAAGAATAAAAGACCAGTGTAACAAAGCACGTATAAGCAATGTCTTCTAGACTTCAATCAACTTTCTATAATCTTAAACCAATTTTCGATAGCTGCAAATGCAGGTATAAATTTACAAATGGATCCATACAAACGCTATATATAAAGGGTTCAGGAACTCAATAAAGAGGTACAGGCCACAAAGTAGAGATACTTAAAAGCTTATATAAATAAGGATCATTACCTAGAGTGGTACCGTAAGTCGAGGCTCGAGGGTGCTTGGAGGAGAAGAATGGATACAGACATAACATTTAACATTATTTGCTCAAAGTGACTGCTGTCAATACTCAAACATTCAGTCTCATACTTGACAGCCTGAGCTTCTACCACTACACCAAGCAATGATCAACTAAACCTCATTTAAATAAGACATAAATTCCATACAAGCATGTTATCCTATCTATAACAGAAAGCTCTACTTGTAAAAACTGCAATACATCTAGTCTGTGCAGCAACAGCACAAAACTTGATGACCCCACTTCTCAAATCAAATCAATGTCGCGTTGACATGGTACAACATGGTTTTAAGGGAACCAAACAACAAACTACCCGCACTTATTCCACTATTATAATAACGGATTCATAAAAAGGTTATATACAATATTCCCCAAAATGCTGCACCATGTCTTAATTAGCTAAATCACAGATCCTCAGTTCCACCTTGAAGATTTTAGAACAGATTTGATAGCATTGGATCATTTCACACAATGGAGAAATTTAAAATATATTAATCAATCAAATAGTTGAAGCCTAAAAGGGTGGGGAAAGAAGAAGAAGAATGTAAGAGAAAAGAAATTCTGGTGGCAAGAGATGCAAGGCTACAAGAAAATTCTAATAATTCATATTAACAATTTAAGTCAAAACCTCTATTGGGGTGTCTTGATCTCAATGATGCTCCTGAAAATCTTCTTCCCCCATATACACAATACGTCCCAAAATTACTTATCAAAAAAATAAAAATACAAAATAAATCCCAAAAGATTCGCAAAGTTTACCACTAAAGGCAGCATAGAATTCCCAATTCATCTAGAATGGAGCATGGAAG